CTTTCCTTTCTTTTTTTTTCTTTCCCAGATTCGTCTCTCGCCTCTCTCTTTCTTTCTCGTCCTTCTTGATTTTTCTTGCTTGGGTTTTGCAGGGGGTTTGGTGGTAGGTTTTGGGGAGTGGTGGTAGATTTTTGGGGGTGGGGTGGTGGGTTTTGCGGGGGGTCTTAGGTGGTGGGTTTCAAGGGTGGTGGTGGTGGATTTCGGGGGTGGTGGTGCGGTTGGGTGGCGGTGGTACGTTGACAATTTCATTGATATAAATATCATCTTCAATGCCCAAAAAATTAATATATCTTTATTCACAATCAAAATAATTTGATAAAAAATTATTGACAAAAAAAAAAAAGAATTGAGAAAATAAAATTCTATAACCCTTATTGATGAGCCCAAAATTGACTAGGTCAGGCCCAATAAAAATAAATCAAGAAAGTCCAAATAAGAGTCCAAATCGAAGCTGGGTCAACCCATCAAAAAGAGTTCCAATTACCGGAGTCTAAAATGAATTAGACCTACTCACAAGTTAAGAAAGAGTCAAGTGAAGTCCAAGCCAAAGGCCAACGCCCATGGCTTGCCTCCCTGTCCCTCTTCTCCACTCTAATGCAAGTCCAAGCCCACACCACTCCAAGTCCAGATTTAGAGTCAAGTTCAAGATCAAGATCAATCCAATATCCCTCTCCGAGTGAATAGGTGTACGAGGAAAAGAAAGAGANTAAATAAATAAATTTTGGGCAATTTGGCAGCCAAAATCCCTGTAAAGCCCAAACCCTGCCATATTTGTAAGTAGGGGTGTTCAAATTTTCGACTGGCTGCAAGTTCATACCCTACCCTACTGAACGGTTAGCGGCAAATATCAGGTAGGAATGCGGAAGAGTTTTTGGTCTTCTAACAATTTTTGTGTAGGAATACAGAATAATCATCAATTTTCACATTCCTACCCTACCCTACCCGCAATAATTTTTTAATATATATATATATATATATNAAATGTAAGTCCTTTACATGTAGAGGACATACTCTCATAGTCTGAAGATCCCTATACACACTACACCATCCCACACCCATTACTCTCTCTCTCGCAAAGGCATTGTAATACCCTTGAAGAATACTCTCTGACGACTTAATTCATTAATAAAAAGACCTAGGTCATTGCTGCTGTTCCCGATAGTGGAGTAGGTCACCCAGACCGAACCACTATAATTCTCTATGTTGGCTCCTTATTTACAGCTTTATTATTGATTGTTTTATTTATTGCTCATTAANAACTAAAAAAACACTAACCATAGGCGAAACAATTATGATTTTAATATATTTCATATGGTTTAAAGTTTAAACTTAAATTAATTGTTATTATATTTGTGTAACAATTATAGTGAATTAATGTTTATACTTTCTTGTATTTTATTACAATTCTTGTTGTAGTTGTTTTAGATTTTAGTGTTAATTGATTTATTTTTTTGTTAAATTGTTAAAATGNTAAGTAAAGGGAATTAAAAAAAAGGTGTATTGGAGGGGATCTAGATCACACTTCAATTTAAAAGGATGAAAATAAAATTTTCAAAATTAAATTATATATAATGCAAGTTTAAAATATGGTAGATAAAAATCCATATTTTTTGGAGAATTGTACTTTGAAAAATTTATTAAGTTTATCACATTTTACCCTAAATATATTGAAGTTATTGTAGTGTGACTCTACTATTAGCTTCTGTTACTCATTCTGACAAAAACTACCCTATTGATGTTAATGTAAGGGCGATGAAAGCTAATGGCATGATCGAATTGTAAATTTTAATTATATTGAGGATATAATATGAGAAATTTAATTTTTTAGTGTTTAAAATTTTTAGAATAGAAGATATGATTCGCCTTTTTTCTTCTTAAAAATCGTTAAAAATATTTCAGAAAAAATAAATAAATAAATTTTGGGCAATTTGGCAGCCAAAATCCCTGTAAAGCCCAAACCCTGCCATATTTGTAAGTAGGGGTGTTCAAATTTTCGACTGGCTGCAAGTTCATACCCTACCCTACTGAACGGTTAGCGGCAAATATCAGGTAGGAATGCGGAAGAGTTTTTGGTCTTCTAACAATTTTTGTGTAGGAATACAGAATAATCATCAATTTTCACATTCCTACCCTACCCTACCCGCAATAATTTTTTAATATATATATATATATATATAAACTAAAAAAACACTAACCATAGGCGAAACAATTATGATTTTAATATATTTCATATGGTTTAAAGTTTAAACTTAAATTAATTGTTATTATATTTGTGTAACAATTATAGTGAATTAATGTTTATACTTTCTTGTATTTTATTACAATTCTTGTTGTAGTTGTTTTAGATTTTAGTGTTAATTGATTTATTTTTTTGTTAAATTGTTAAAATGATCTAAAAATTAATTATTATAAAATGTTTACCCGATTTTTTACCCGACTTCTTACCTGATTAATCGGGTAGGAAGTCGAGTAGTAATACTATACCTATCGGATAAGGTAGGCGAAGAAAAACTCTTCCGCAAAGTATCGGGTAAGAAGACGGAAGAACATATTTGGGTAGAGTGAACACTAAGGGGGTGTTTGTTTTGCAGGATTAAGGGGGGATTGGGTTAAAATTGTCCATGAAACCCATTTATCTTTGCTTTGGATATGTAAAATTGGGTAGGATTTTCGTTATGGATTGAAATACTCAGCCGTAGTTTTTGACCCCACTATCCCCTCCAAGCTAGACTATTGAACCTCACGAAAAGTTTGGGATTAACAAGCTCCTAGCAGGATTGGTTTTACTGTCTCATCACTTTCATCTTTTCCTCGCTACACAGACAACACCTCCACCCCCAACCAAGCACCACCAGCGCCCCCCACCCCTTTTTTATCTGCCTCTCTACTGCAATGCCACCACGAACGACACCACAACCATCAGTGTCATCTGCTCTCTCTTGGCTCTCTTTCTCCCTCTACTGTCTCTCATTACTTTCCTTTCTCCGACAACACCTCCACCAGCGACCAAGCACCACCAGCAACAGTAACCAAGCACCACCAGTGCCCCCCACCCTTTTTCTATCTACCCCTCCACTGCAACGCCACAGCCACCGCCACCGCCACCGCGAATGGCACCACAGGCATCACCTGCGCCACCTCCAACACCAGCAAACCCCCCCCTCTCTCTCTCTCTCTATGTCAACTATTCTTCCCCTCACATCTGTCTCCTCTATCTCTGTTAAATACACACACACAAAAACCCCAAACCCAAATCCCCCCTAACCATCTATTGATTTGTGGTGGGGTTAATTTACTTCATTTTTTTGGGTATTGAATTTTATTTTTTTATTGACAATTTGGAGACTATATTATAATCATAACAAGTTTTTTGATTGATTTCTTTATTGGATTGATCTTCAAATGATCGGGAGTTCTCGTATTGAACCCGATAATATCAATTCTTATCAGAGATACTATCTTGTGTCTATCTTCTAGTTCTTCAAGTAATATAGTTCTTATTGTTTGATTATTTTCTTATCCAAAATTCCTTTTATGCATTTGGATGGCGATGACTCATATATGATCGAACTTTGTTAGTTCATTAGTTTTGCTTGGAGTTGTGTTTTATATTTTGGATCAACTATTGATTGTTTAATTCTTGTTGAAATGGACGTTTTGTTTGTTTAAGAACAAGTTTGGCTTTTGTTTCAAATTGGGTAGTGGTGATTTGTTATAGTAGGAATTTGGATTGATGATCTTATGGGACACTAATGAAGAACACCTCAAGGAGTATTTTAGTACTTATGGCGAGGTGTTGGAAGCTATAATTTCTATTGAATTTTTTTGCAAGTTAATTTCTGTTGATTTTTTTTTTGGTTAGTGGTGGTATGTATGCGGCAACACAACTAAATCTATATAATTACGTTATTTCGATAATTGTATAATATTCTATTGTATTCATGGTTTGTAAATATGATAAGTGACAATCACAATATGTTGTTTGGTTTGAAACATAACACGATAATATTGAGTATTATTGTCATATAGTGTTGTGGTGTAACATTAATACAAAAAATAAACTTTCTTTGATTTTTTGTTTTTAAACCAATGGATCAAACATTACTAAAATATTACAATTTTTTTTACACTGTTGATAATATACTAATTGAGTCTGATTCTTTAGTATTAGTGAATTTTGTCTTTGGTAGGTGTGGTTGTGCTTTGCCTTTTCTGAATTTTTAAAGCAAATTAGAGCCTTGTTGAGTCAAATGGAGTTTTCAGATGGAGCATGTGCAAAAATAAGCAAACAATGTTGCTGACAGATTGGCTAATCAGGCTGTGCAGGATAGGGTTTCTGTGGATTTTTCTGATTCTGTGAAGCTTCACAGTGCTGTGAAGATGGTTTTGATGCAAGATTTAAGGAAGTTGCCTGTGTTAAGAACCAGGAGAATGGTGGTCTTTGATGATAAGGGTTGAATTTTGACATTTCAGCAGTCTGTTCTGCTACTGCTTATCTAGCCAATCTATTTTTTGTTGCAGCTGCTTTAAGAGATTTGGCCTTTGTCTGTTCAGCTCGTTTGAGAAGGGGTAGGTGATGTAGTAGTAGCTATACAGGCTTGGGTGGAGTGATTGAGGTTTTATTGATTGATTTTATTGAGAAAATGGCACTTGGACCTTTCTCAAGTTGATTCTTGCAATTGATTTGTTTATGGAATAAAATTTTTCTTTTAAAAAAGTATAACTTAATAATATTTTATTCATTGTTTCCAAAAATTAATTTTACCCACTATGCCTAACCATCCAAACTTGATATAGAATTGAATTAATTTTTTTTTTGCAAAGGGTGAAATGGTCATTTCATTTAAATTGAGTTGGACATGTGCATGGAACCCACGGTTTCTATTATTTCTATCCAAATCAAGTATTGCATTGGATAGTGGTAATTGGATTTAACTTAGTTAGGATAACATTGCATTGGGTTGGATTGAATTCGGATTTAAATCCAATCCAACCCGATCCTTTTGTGGCGATCCCAACACACCCTAATAGACTAGTATACTTCAGTATAGAGCTGAGAACCTGCCATTACATCGTAGAAATGGCCGGTCCATTACTTCGCTCTCTCTGGTCCACGACCAGAAAATCTCTCTCTCCCCATCACTCCACTCCCTCAAGCCCTCTAAAACCCTATGTTTACTCACGCTCCGCAAACTTCAGGCGCCACTTCTCCGCCGCTCCAGCAACCGCCGCATCAGCGGCTGCTCCGAGCGGCGTTCTGGACCCAAGCCGCCTCAGGAACGTGGCGGTGATAGCGCACGTCGACCACGGCAAGACCACTCTCATGGACCGGCTCCTCCGCCAGTGCGGCGCTGATATTCCTCACGAACGCGCTCTCGATTCCATCAGCCTCGAGCGCGAGCGAGGCATCACCATAGCTTCAAAGGTCTGAACTTTCTTACTCTTACCTCAAGTCTCTGTTTGGTTCCTGAAAAACTGTGTGATTCAAAGTTCCTGAATAGAGCAGATATTTTAGATTTTTATTCTGTTCTGTTTTTATGTTTTCTTGGCAACCAAACGAGCATTGTGAAAGTATTGATTTTTGTAGCTGGAGTAATATGGTAAAGAAACGAATAGCTCTCTCAACATGTTTGGATCGTTGTATAATTGCCTTAACATTTTCTCTTAATTCTGTGATTAAAATAGTAGTCAGGTGTCTACACAAAAAATTGAAAAAGGGAGCCTTGGTCTAGGGCTAAGGTGGGCTACTAGTTAGCGGGCGTGGTGTGGTGGAGAAGGTGTTCTCATTGCTAACAATCATAAGAACCAAAAAAGGAACGTGGAGTGTTTCATGTGACTTTATATTTGAGTTTCATTGGCATGGAGTGTTTCATGTGACTTGATATGTGAGTTTCATTGGCATAAGGAATTCCTAGATTATCCTACTTGTTTGCCAATCCTGACTGCTGAATTCTATAAATGATAACTTTATGCTGAGATAAGGAAGACCCTGAGATGGGAAATTGTGAGATATTTTGACAAAAATTCAGATAAATTAATTCGTTTTTGCTGCTGATAGAGGGGTCCTAAATTGAATTTGAAGTCTGTTGCGTGGCGCACTTTACATGTTACACTTTTTCACTGGCAATGATGATAAAAAGGCCGGACTTACAGCTGCTTCCAGGTGATTGGTAGTAGAATGATGAAAGTTTCGCTAAGGTTACTGAGCCAGTGGTAGTGGATGTTGTATGTGGGATATTTTAGTCTCTTGCTCTTCTTTCATCTGTGTTTAAAGTTGATTTTTGAAATAGAAATTATAGAGAGGTTGAGTCATTAATTCAATCAATCTAGACCACCATATGTGGATCGTTTAGTCTGTTGCTCTTCTTTTGTCTGTGGTTAAAGTCCACTTTTGAAATTGAAACTATAGAAAGGCTGATAAGGTTATTATAGCCTAACACCCTCCCTGGTTGGGCCTTGTGAGACCTTGACATTTGGTACCAGTTGAGCTTTTTGTAATGAACGTACCTAGCTTTTAACTCTTTGTCCTTTCTAACAGGAAATTTTGGGATTTAGGCAGCCTACTTCAAACACATTAAATTGTGAGAGTTAGACATGTGTGCAATTAATAATCAAGTCCAGTGGGAGATGATATCTTTATGAGTCAACTTTTTTCCGTTGACAAGGAGAAACTCTCATTTGTTTTGTTTAAAAGAGCAAATGGTATTTCATTAAGCCAGATTGGATTCAGAAGCAAATTCTCTTTTATAGTTTATTAATTGAACTCTACACTCATGAGTTCAGCAGAAAACATTGTTTATCCTGAATTTTTGGTGAACTAGCTGTTCTTGAAACTCATTATAAATCACAGGGCGAGCCACAGAAAAACAAAATCCATCAGTGAGATAGTCTTTCACATTGTTGGTAAATGGAACTTTTTATGTATTTTGGTAACAATATGTTTATTTGATCTGCTTATATGGGTAACATTCACGTTATATGTTATTATTCAAGTTTTTCCTATAATGGGAAATACCACTATTGTTCTAGTAGTTTCTCGCCCCTAAAATATTGCGGTTGGTATTTTGTCATTCTCTTACAGGTTACATCTATTTCATGGAAGGAACATGAGCTAAACATGGTTGATACTCCTGGACATGCAGATTTTGGTGGTGAAGTATGCCTTCACTAATATGCTAAAGCAGTTTAGAGCTTCTTGTTATGGGTCCAAATTAGATTTGTGATTAGCAAAGTTTACTGAAATATCATTGGGTCGCATTTGTACCACAAGAAAGAAGTTTTGTAGGCTTTTTAGATGGAAAATGGTTAGATTTGGATTGATAGATTACTAGAGTTTTAGAGCATTGGTAATTGGAAATTCTTACAGCTAATAAGTATCACTTCAAATGCAGAGATTTATAGGCCAGAAGTCTATGCAGACATGTTATGAGGATTTATTTATTTGAGTGAGTCAGTTAGAAACGAAAAGGAGGACTAAAGGTGACTCTATTAGGATTCTTGCTAAAAGCTTTTAGCTTCCCCTTCCACAAATAAAAAAAAAAAAAAAGATGAATGATGACAAAAGTGTAAATTTCATCAACACTTCACTGTAAATAGTCATATATTCAAAGACACCTTTTCAATTATCTAAAATTCTATTGGCACACCACCTCAGTTTGGCTGTTGATGACGACGGTAACAAAAACGGTACATTTATTTATTTGCCCATCAAAAATTCACATACCCACCTCTATGTATTTTATGCCCCTATTCTCTGCTAGATTGAGACACTCTGATTGTCTACTGCTCTTGGACAAGTTCAATTGCCGATTAGTTATTGGAAAGGAGGTTACTATCATATGCTANCACCCACCTCTATGTATTTTATGCCCCTATTCTCTGCTAGATTGAGACACTCTGATTGTCTACTGCCCTTGGACAAGTTCAATTGCCGATTAGTTATTGGAAAGGAGGTTACTATCATATGCTAGGAGAATGGAGCTCATATCCTTAGGGCTTCAAGCCCTCGCATCTATTGATTGTCTGCATTCAAGCTTCCGGAGAAGATTTTGAAAAGATTTATTTGTACGCAAAATTCAGCAATATTTGTTGTTTGTATGTATATACAGACAAATACCATTTGAGAAAGAGTGTGTGTGAGTGAGACAGAGATGCACTATTGCTAACACTACTGCCCACCCTGACCCACCCCACCTTTTTCCTCACCCCAATCGGTGGTTGTGGCCCACTTCATGCCCAATCCAGTGTTACATCATCCCACTTGCAATCCACCATTGACGCCAATCTTTAATCCACCCCTATCCCCAACCTAAGCACTGCCACTAGTAATTTATTCCCCCTCAACCACAAAGGCCTCTTATCGCCTAATGATAGATCTTAAATCTAAACATTTTCCTCTTGCGAAATTGATGTGGAGAGAGAGAGCGCTTTATCAATTTGTGCAATTGGGTGCAATTGGGGTGTGTGTGAGGGTGCAACTGGATGCAATTGTGTATGTTATGATGATTTGTGGCGGTTCAAAGTGTTATTGTTGAGTGCTATTTTTCTTTTTCGGTAGTCATAATGATGTAATGGAAGTGTTATTGTGGCTGTGCATTGAATTGGGATTTGGTTTTAATGAGTAGGGTTTCTGGTGGTGCTGGGTAAGGGTAGGATAGTGGTGGGTAAGGGTTTCTGGTGGTGTTAGTTTAAAAAATAAATGCTTGATGGCCTAGTATTTAGGAACAATGTTTAACTGTGAAGTTTTTGTATTGTTAACCTTTATATTTGATTGTTTGAAACCTTCTTTTCTTTTTAATTTTTTTTGGGTACACAGGTTGAGCGGGTAGTTGGCATGGTTGAAGGGGCAATTTTAGTTGTAGATGCTGGTGAAGGTCCACTAGCGCAGACGAAATTTGTTCTGGCTAAAGCCTTAAAATATGGTCTACGCCCTATTCTTCTTCTAAACAAAGTAGACCGACCTGCAGGTATACTGACTGTAGAAGTCCACGTTTTCTGAATTTTAATTGTGATATTTGCTTTCATGACTATTTTTGTTGCCCATTGTCCGAACGGGAATTTTACGAAAAAGAAGGCTGCATATTAATATGTTCCAATGTTATTAATTCTTATTTGTGTAGGCATGCGTCTAAATAATGACCAAAAAACAAAAAAACACATGCGTTTGAATAAGTTATATGCATGGTAGTATCATACGATACACAATACGATACTTTTCTATATTGGACTCAAATGATAGGTTTTGTATAAGTGTATCATTTTACAACGTACCATGTGATACACAATACTTATTGTATGTTACCGTTCGATGCATAATACGGTATGATACGTGTCTTATAGGTTCAAAAAGGAGAAAGTAACAAAAGGTAAGGGGGATACTTTCTAATTTGATTTATATTTTAGTATACTAGCAGTCGCTCCGTGCTATGCACGGTTATCCAGCCAAAAATAGGGATAATTTTTAGGTTTAATGACATTAAACTTGTGTTAATGTAAATTGCTTAACAACAAAATATTTCAACATATACAATGACCAAGTGGAGAAAAGTAATCAAAATTCTAATAATACCTAAATTAGAAACTCTAGAGCCCGTCTTTAGAATTCCCAGGATTCTAAAAACATAATGTATTCTTTTAGAGAGAAAAAAAATGAGATAAGAAAGAAAGAACTGAGGACATGAGACAGAGAAGAAAGAATGGAAGAATGGAGGGGAAGTTATGCAAGGCATGGAAAGTGGAAAGGGGAAATTGAGTTGGAGTAGGTAACTATTTAGAGATAAGCAGTTAGATTGTGGGGGAATTTAAAAAGGATCCACGTGTAAGGATTTTATTTGAGGGAATCATGTTTATTGAATTTAAATTTAAAAAATCAAATTTTCATGGAGTGAAGATTTGTCAAGCCCTTTCCAATTTGAATTGGATCACCTTTGGTAGAATTATTTCGTAGAAGTGCTAGTGTGGGACAATCTACTTTGACTCGTTTTTATAGTTTACACTTTTGTATTATTGCTTCTTTCTGTCGTATTTACGTTAATTCATTTCCCAATGATACGTAAACAAGGTATTTTTGGTCCTTTATAGAAAAAATATATCCTACATATTTGTAAGCAATCATTTATCACTTGGGGAGGAAACAATACTATTACTATTTCATTGCTACAACTATGGATTATTGAAAATATCAAGATATACATTTGAATGTTTCCCTTCAAATATTCATGTCAAATAACTAATATTTTGTAGTTGAAGGGAGTTTTCCGAAGAAAAAATGGATTATGGGAGTGTAGGACTTGAACTATTGATTGGTAATTTATTTACTCATTCAATCATTTTAATATTTTATATTGTCTTAATGTGGGGGCCCAATGATATTTTATNCATACATTTGAATGTTTCCCTTCAAATATTCATGTCAAATAACTAATATTTTGTAGTTGAAGGGAGTTCTCCGAAGAAAAAATGGATTATGGGAGTGTAGGACTTGAACTATTGATTGGTAATTTATTTACTCATTCAATCATTTTAATATTTTATATTGTCTTAATGTGGGGGCCCAATGATATTTTATCAAATAAGAAAACTAAATGAAAGCAAGTATTTGAAAAATATAAGAGTAATGCTATTTGGACCTAAAAATCTGATCTAATTTGCTGACATAATGATATGGCTTCATAGGATTCATTGGATCAACACCAAGTTTCAATGTTTGATGGGATTTACAGTCAATCCAAAGGTTACAATGAATTAGGTCAGTAAATTATGTCAATAAATTAGGTCTCAATAACATTGCTCAAAAGATAATGAAGAGGATGAAGTTGACAAAGATGGAGGAAAGTAAAGACTTGTTGGAATGCAAAGCGATGATGAAGATATTTATACCGTTGAAATTGAATGTCGAGGTTGAAATGTGATTCATATNATATACAAAAAGTTGACAAAGATGGAGGAAAGTAAAGACTTGTTGGAATGCAAAGCGATGATGAAGATATTTATACCGTTGAAATTGAATGTCGAGGTTGAAATGTGATTCATATGATTAAAAGAATGAATTGTTTTGGATTTTGCTAATTTTTAAATTTTGAAATTGATGAATTCTGTTAGTAAGCTTGAAGATTTAATTGTTGTTTAGAAACTTGGAGCCTTTTCAAATCTTGTATGAAATTTAAGTTGAAATATTATTTGTACTATTTTGGATCTATATAAATCAAGGGTAACTTATGCTACATGATATGGTACGATACAAATACACTATTTTAAGAAAGCAATGCACACTACGATGCACATTTTGACAACCTTGGTTATATGTTTCTGCAATGAAAAGATGCTATTGCATGTTTCAGGAACATTATCATACTTATGTTGTTTTTATTGTGCAACATATATTGTATGGGTTCTTATCCTCTTGATCATGTACGTGCAGTCACTGAGGAGAGGTGCAATGAAGTTGAGAGCCTAGTGTTTGACCTTTTTGCAAATCTTGGCGCATCAGGTCGTAGAATATGTAATCATTTGCTGACTCTGTTATGAGCTAAATTTATATTTACACTAAATACAAGTTTGATATTTATTTTCCAGAGGAGCAGCTAGATTTTCCTGTTCTTTATGCTTCTGCAAAGGAAGGATGGGCTTCCTCCACCTTCAACAAAAATCCTTCTGATGATGCAAAGGATATGTCACAGTTGCTTGATGCAATTATAGGACATGTTTCTCCTCCAACAGCAAGCCTAGATGCACCTTTCCAGATGCTGGTTGGTAGTAGAATGTTTATTGTTGCCGGCATTCACACTTCAATCTAATCATGCCCTTTTGTGCACACTGCATGTGATTGAACATTGATGCATGAATAGCCCTGTTATTTAGCTTGTAATCTTTTACAAATGGATGAGCCTGCATGAAAAATCTTGGGTAAATACACTTACTAGTGAAGCGTGACTATATTTCTTCAATTTTTTTTGGGTGTTAAGTTATTGGAAAGATGGTGGATATCCATAAAACTTGCATGATGATTCTGATGCTTGACTACATTATTATTAAACTAATTGTGTTGCCTGTGATTATTGGGCAGGTTAAGCTTCTGGAAATTGTAGGATTAGGGTTAGGGAGGGTAGAAGAATGGGTCTAGATATTATGGGTTGAAGTAGTTCGAATTTATTTGGTGGTTAGTTGTTGCAGTTTCAGAAAATTATCTGGTGGAAATTCTTGATTGCAGTTATTAAAGGGTTTGGTCTTAGGCTATAGTTTGGAAGGTAGGGGAAAGGTTAAGGGTTACTTGATCAGTGATTTGGTGTGATAAAAGTTAAGAGCGGTTTGAATTGGACTAGAAAATGTGGTTTCAAAGAATGGAAGCACGTGCAGAAGAAGATTCCCTCATGTTCCAAACTTTAGGGTCCTTATATAAATTTGGGCTAAAGCAATAATTTCACATGAGACCTTGATCAATATTTTAGAAAGATAATAAAAATTTTATGATTATTTTTACAGAGAATTTCTGTGTGGTGTAGTTTCAATGTTTTAGTGGTTTTGGGATCGGATAAGACCAAACAATCAATTTGGTGTAATTATCAAGTCGGGATCTTACACATGAATAAATTAATTGAAGTCTTAAAGAGAGAACAAAATAGTTAGATAAGGACAAAGAGAGAGAAATACAATGATAAAGATTTGGAGAGAGGCAGTGAGAGTGGACGAAAAAAGTGTGAAAGGAATTTGAGAAACAGTGCTATTTATAACGCTAGAAGTCATTACTTTTAGGTTTTTTAGAAGGTTTTGTTACATTTTAGTGTTTGCTATAAATTTTTACATAGACTTCTAAAAATATTGTTATATTTTGGGGTTTTCTATAAGACTTTACCTAAAATTGTGAAATACATTGGGCCTTAAACTTGGTCCATTCAAAATGAACTCAGAATATGAAGCTAAACTAAGGACTAAAAATTAATTGGGGTCCTTATGACTGTGCCTCCTCCCATTCAAAAGATCAATGTGTTTACGCATCTTGGAACGATCATAGTCTCTGCGAGTTCCTCACCATCGAGTAGATTAATGTTTTATGCCTTTAGTTATTTAAAAAAGTACTGTACTCGTAATAGATAAAAAAAAATAAAAAGTAAGATTAAAAGGGAGAGATGATGAAAATAAATAGTTTAATTTGTGTTTTAATTTTTACATAAGGACAAAAATATAGCTAAAAGGAGAACATGTGTGTGTGTGAGAGAGAGAGTGACTAGTGATGTCTAATATAGACCATTTTTTGTACCTTTTCAACCTTATTATTTTTTTGTCAAATTTAATTTTGTGTCATTGGGCTAGACTTTTGGACCCAAATCATTTAACTAAGTTTTTTTGTTGGTTGAAATTTTAATTGAGTTCTTTTGTTGGACTCAATTTTTATAGGTTTAACTTTTTGGTATAGACTATGTTATATAGATTTATAAATTTGAGGCCTCTTATTTAGTTGGGGCCTAAAGCCTGTGCTTTAGTGGCCTTCTGTATGGTCTGACCTTGAGGGTGTGGTGAATAACTCATCACACCTTCTCATATTCATCAAAAGTAACGATTGTCTTGAATGACAAAGATTGGCTTGATAGTCATAGGCTGCTTTAGTTCTACTAAAAAATGGAGACCTTCAATAACTTCCACTTCTGAGATCATTCTAGGCTTTTAGTGCAGCATATATGTAAGGTCCAATAGGATAGAAATATGCGGAGTTGGTCTCATGGACCAGAACTGGTTTCCATAACACAAATGAACTTTTTAAATTCTAAGAAATTTTCATCAATCTGATCAATAGCTTAATAAATTGAAATAAGAATAGGTAAAGTCCCAGTACATGCCATGACTTGTTTCATAATGTCCCAGTTGGCATCCTTAAGCAATTCTAGTTTACTTAACCATCATCGTGTTTTAGTACGGAGCATCTGGTTGAGCAGATCAGATATGGTGCAGTGTGAAATGCCCTTTAGTTCTTATTTTGGTAGTAATGCAAGCATTCCTCTCTTATTATGCTATGTTTTTAAGGACATTTTTACATGTTTATAAGTTAATAAAAAGGCCTACATGCCTCATGATAGGGTGACCATGCAATACATCTAATCCATATTTTGTTTTTATTGATAGTTCTTTGGGGCCTTTGATTACTTCTTGTACCTGGTGGTTGGCTGATGGAAATCCTTTGATTATTTTTATGCTTCTATAATCTGCTTCCCTTGCGACTTTTGCTTTTATGCATGTCTTCTCTTCTTTGCTTGGGAAGGTTGAGAAAGATGCTCAACAGTTCTTCACAGGTTTCCATGATGGAGCGAGATTTTTACCTTGGGCGAATTTTAACTGGGCGTATCTCTTCTGGAGTCGTTCGTGTGGGCGATCGAGTTCATGGACTTCGCACTACAGATTCCGGGGTTGCTAAAATTGAAGAAGGAAAGGTTTGTGGTCTTGGATTGCCGAATTGCTATTAAAATGTATGGAACATTACCAATTATCACTGGATTAAACTTTTTAAACCTTGTTTAATTTTCAGTTCGACCCAAAAAAAAAAAAAAAGAAAAAAAGAAAAAATGCTTTACCCATTAGAATGTGTTTGCAGTTTGGTTGGGTTCAAATGTCAGACTGTAATATGATAGAAAAAGGTTTCACATTGCTCAAAATGACCCCATGATGCCAGGGAAGGATGTACCTTATACTTTATGGCTGCTTTGGACATATAGCCACGCCTTGTTATGTATTAAGTGGCCTCTTTTTCTGTAATTGGTTCTTAGCATCTCGGCTTTGTCAGATTGACTTGCTTGCTATTGCGTTTTCTATGCTACAAGTTGTAGAAATTTACCAGTTTGACAACTCTGCATTTGATGGTTATTTTTAAGTCTTCTTGAATGACTGGTGCTCGAGTGACTCCCCTTAATGTTTAATTGGCACAAATTAATTTTTTATGGTTTTACATTCGTTCACTCCCCAAAACTTAAAACCATGGATCAAAATATCGTTTCGAAACGGTTGAAACGTCCGAAACGTTTCCGTTTCCAAGGAGAGCGAAACGAAACAGCGATGAAATCAAAATTTTGATATTTCGAAGTATTTCATAATATTTTTAAATGTATTATAATATTTCAATGCAATTGTACAATTGTTTTAGAATATTTCANGAAATTCTGATATTTCGAAGTATTTCATAATGTTTTTAAATGTATTATAATATTTCAATGCAATTGTACAATTGTTTTAGAATATTTCAAGGTATTTCAAGATATTTTAATATATTTTCATCAATGTTTTAGAAAAATAATTCTTAAATTTTTTATTTTTTTCATTATATTTCCGAAACAGGTCAAAGTGTTTTCGAAATACGTCGAATCGTTTCCGTTTCCCTAGGTGACCGAAACGATACACCGAAACGATATTTTTATCCTTGTTTAAAACCTTATTGGATTTGACCACTGATGCCAAATAACATTTGATTTGTGTGCTCTTTATTACATATTCACATTTCACACACAAACACACATATTATGTATTTCCCTGCCAGCCCCTACTCAGAACCTAACCTTTGGGAAAAAAAGAGGGGTGGGCTTTTTCGTTAGAACCATCAATCAAAATCTCAAGGTAACATTGCTTGATATCAAATTTATCAAACAGCCCCTCAAAGTAACATTATTAGGAGGTTATGTTGCTGTTTGTCCTGTGGTATTTGTTGCTAAGTATTCAATGGAAATATGAAACATTGAACTAACAAATCAAAATTATAATAATAGCAAGAGTTAAGCTCGTGAACTTTTATAAGATAGCTGAAACTGATTTAAATGACATAAATTTTGGAATGGCTTAATTCGACTCTACTGAGCTCAATAGTGCATTGTCCCACAGATTTGAGATCGGCTACATAAATATTTTTCCCGCAAAATAAATGTCATGTGCGTCAGCCAAAGTAAACTTACTTTCCACATCTGACTTTGTATTTTTTCTCTTGTAGGTTGTGAAACTAATGAAAAAGAAGGGTACCAGCATGGTTTTGATTGACAGTGCTGGTGCTGGTGATATAATATCAATGGCTGGGTTGGCAAGTCCAGCGATTGGACACACAGTAGCAAATGTGGAGGTATGTGAGTCCATTTTGATTGCAACCATGAGGCAGAATTATCATCTTGTACTCTTCCTTCATTGATGTGGAGATAGAGCCAGAAGTGAGGCTTTATGCTGCCATCAATTTCCATTATTATTGACAGGTGCTGCTTGCATGCACGGCTTACTTCACTGCATCACATATCTTGGATAACTGATTTTGCTAGCACTACTAAAGTAAAACATTAGGTAGTTCCACACTTATCTATACAAGTTTAAATCCTTGTTCAATCAATAAAAGCAAAAGCAAGTGCGGTTGTGCGATTTTATTACTTTTTCCTCTTGTCCTTTATAGCGCTCTTCTACAAGTGTTTTCTGAATGTTGACATTATATCGCTGAAAGTGTAATTGTTAGTTTTTAGTTAACTTTTAATGGAAATATCACACTGACTTTCAGTGACATATGCTAGGTCATGACTGCTCTGCCCACTGTTGAGCTTGATCCCCCTACAATTTCCATGACTTTTGGTGTCAATGACTCTCAATTGGCTGGTCGTGATGGTACTCATGTAAGTGTGATGCATCTCTTCTGTTGGTATTAAATATTACTTTCTATATTTAAGTTCTCATTGATGTTTTAATGTCATCCGATTATTTACAATACAAGAGGATGCATAATCTTAATACTCTGCTTTCTTTAGAAAATGCTGTACAATCAAGTAGTTCAGGTTTAAGGTTTAACGAGCCTAAAAAAATAGTGAATTTAATGGAATATTAGATCTTTTATACTGGGACTCATCTTTATAACATTTCTTTGTCTTCCAAGAAAATTTGATTATTAAGAAAAAAATAGCGCTTAGAACTTAATTCCTTTCTTTTTCCAAAAGAATGAGTTTTTTATATGGTGTAATGCTCCAATATTTCAGCACAAGAAATGCACTTCTGATTTTGATGTTTTAAAGTGATATATCAGTTTNCGCTTAGAACTTAATTCCTTTCTTTTTCCAAAAGAATGAGTTTTTGATATGGTGTAATGCTCCAAAATTTCAGCACAAGAAATGCACTTCTGATTTTGATGTTTTAAAGTGATATATCAGTTTAGGTAACGCTGTAACAGTAAGAAAAGCAATTAGATTAGGGTCGGTTTTAATGTTAAACAATTCATTGCATTGTACCTAGACTTGCTAGGTAAATCCATTTTATTACTCAAGAATGCTCACTAACTACTATGACTTTACTGCATGTCCTTAATCCTTATGTTAATTCTTATTTATATATATAATATGTATATAGAGATATTTTGTCCACATAGTGATTCATTCAGGAATTGAATCAAATAGGCCCTTTTATCTCAATGGTAGAGTAACATCATGGTAAGGCGTAAGCCATTGGTTCATCTCAAATGACTGGTCTATTTAGTATGGTGCTTAATGAACAAAAATCTCTTGTAACAATCACTGTTACACCATGGTGTGTGGGTTGGGGTGTGATGTTAGGTTTTATTGTGTGCAAGAGAGACAAAGGGGGAGGGGATGGGTAAAAAATTATGAAGTGGGTATGTGTGTGCAAAAGGAAGAAGCTAGGAAGTATGGATACTTCTCACGGGGTGTCGTGGCAGTGTCGGACACATGTCTGACACGGATACGGCCAGGACATGGTTGGACACGTGTCCGATAGGGCTAAAAGTATCTTGAATAGTGAATTCCGTCGGACACAACCAGGATACGTCCAGGACACGGCCAAGANCTGACACGGATACGGCCAGGACATGGTCGGACACGTGTCCGATAGGGCTACAAGTATCTTGAATAGTGAATTCCGTCGGACACAACCAGGATACGTCCAGGACACGGCCAAGATACGTCTAGGATACGACCAAGACACAACCAAGACTTTTTTATTATAAAAACAACTTTTAACTATTAAAAATTTACTTTTTTTAATATATTTTTTGTTACGTAACTTATATACTATGAATGTTANGCCAAGATACGTCTAGGATACGACCAAGACACAACCAAGACTTTTTTATTATAAAAATAACTTTTAACTATTAAAAATTTACTTTTTTTAATATATTTTTTGTTATGTAACTTATATACTATGTATGTTAATAGATGCAATAATGTTTGATGAAAATAGTGGATATTTAATTTGATCCATTTCAATTTTAATCAAAAAAATAATATTTACTAGGTCTTATTATTAATATTGTTATAATATATGCTTTATTTTTAGTATATTACAACTCTATTATTATTTAAAAAATATATTATATTATTTTAATAGCCTAATCTTTGCCGTACCCGTATCCCATATTTTTTAACTTTGTCGTATCCTCGTGTCCGTANGTATATTACAACTCTATTATTATTTAAAAAATATATTATATTATTTTAATAGCCTAATCTTTGCCGTACCCGTATCCCATATTTTTTAACTTTGTCGTATCCTCGTGTCCGTATCGTATCGGATACGACACCCGTGTCCGTATCAGTACTTCCTAGGGAAGAAGTTAGAGAGGTAGAAGTTTGTGCGGGTGTGCACGTAAGGAAGAAGACGAGGAGGGAGGACTTGATTACTAAAATAACCAAGACTCATGTGAGTGTTGTGTGTGAGCTTCTCTCTTTGGTTTAAAAGGGAAATTGGACAAAAGTAACCAATAATGATGATTTTTAAGGTAGAAGGTGAAAATTGAAACAATTTAATGTTTGGGAGAAGTTTAAAACATTAAAAGTGCATTTATGTTGTCCCAAAAAAAAGAGCTGCATATCAAACAAAAACATATTGCCAATTACCAAATGCAAAAACTTGACCATAAGGGGGCTGTAATATAACCACACAGTGGACCATCCATCTTTGGAAACAGGGAATCTGATAGTTATGTTCATCCCGTTGTTTCTTACTTTCCCTCGTTGGCACTGGCATACAAAAAATGAAGCCAAAGCACAATAATCTCTCTCTATCTCCCAATTCCCTAGATTAATATATACATATATGTATATGTATATGCGTGTATATGTATGTACCGAATCAATGGTGGTCAGCGTTTAAACCCCGAGTTGTCATTTTAAAAAAAATAATTGCCATTTATGGCCATGGTATGCCCGTAAATTTGCTTTACGCACAAGTAGTGCTCGTCAGGGTTGATACTACCTAAATATGAGACATAGGGGAAAAAATTGTGGGTTTCAAGGTTAAATCTTTGCTTATTTGAGTTGTGTAATTTTTGTTCATAGAATAAAATCAATGGTATTTATATCAGTCCTTGTGCTCTTCCATGCCAGATTCATGACAGGGACAACCTTGTTCTACTCGTTGTTTCCTTATATCTCTCTTGATGGGATTGTCACATGCACACATGNTGAAGCCAAAGCACAATAATCTCTCTCTATCTCCCAATTCCCTAGATTAATATATACATATATGTATATGTATATGTATATGTGTGTATATGTATGTACCGAACCAATGGTGGTCAGCGTTTAAACCCCGAGTTGTCATTTTAAAAAAAATAATTGCCATTTATGGCCATGGTATGCCCGTAAATTTGCTTTACGCACAAGTAGTGCTCGTCAGGGTTGATACTACCTAAATATGAGACATAGGGGAAAAAATTGTGGGTTTCAAGGTTAAATCTTTGCTTATTTGAGTTGTGTAATTTTTGTTCATAGAATAAAATCAATGGTATTTATATCAGTCCTTGTGCTCTTCNTCATTACCAAACACGAGTTCATTATCTTCATTTGATTCTCTATCCATTCTCCTAAGCAACCACTCATTGTTATCATCAATATCCTTCAAAGAGATTGGATTAAAAATTGGGTCACGTCAATCATATGGGCGTCTCCAAGCTCCCTTATATTTGTTAAGTACTAAATCTTTGAGACTAGTCTGTGTGAGTTTGCAACAATTTATGATAAGATAAAAAAAAATGGAATCGAAGAGATTTGAGGACGACACTTACATGCTCAAACACACTCCATTTCCTCTCACAACTAGATGCACTACAAGTAAGGCTAAGAACTTTTTTCTTTAAGTTTTTCAAATTCGGCGTTGCAGAATTGTATGCCCCCCACCAATCAGCTGTGAATATCAATTAATTAGCGTTTGTGAATATTTAAGCAATGATAATGAAATAAGCTTGTGGGATAATATAGATCACCTGTTGCCCTTGTAGTTCTTTGTCTAATTGCCATGGGCAACTTAAAGAGGTTTTTACCTTTCATGTAAGTACTCAACTCCTGAAAAATTCGATCTTTGTATCTCAGGGTTTGGGACCAACCTTTGTTAACATTTATATAGGTCATTCATGACTTCTTGAGCTTTCTCAACCTCTGGATTTTAATAAAAAACCTCTAGGTTCAAAAAATACCTAGCTACATGCAAAGGGCGATACAATTGAACTTTCCACCTTCAGTCAATGATTTTAAAGATGTTTTTGTACTTCTCTTCATTTTTGCAATCACTTCTTTAGCACTGTCCATAGTTTCATAAATGTATCCCATGGGAGTCTTCTTCTCACCATCAACCAATCAAAGAACACGAACAAGAGGGCTAGCAAGCTTGTGAATACACAACATTATTACAAAATGAAGGCATTAAACTGATTTGTGCTGTCCTNTCTGTTGATTACTTTCTCAAACTCCATAAGCTCGAGCAACATCACCCTGAGTTAAAGAATCATTACCAAACACGAGTTCATTATCTTCATTTGATTCTCTATCCATTCTCCCAAGCAACCACTCATTGCTATCATCAATATCCTTCAAAGAGATTGGATTAAAAATTGTGTCACGTCAATCATATGGGCGTCTCCAAGCTCCCTTATATTTGTTAAGTACTAAATCNCCTGTTGATTACTTTCTCAAACTCCATAAGCTCGAGCAACATCACCCCGAGTTAAAGAATCATTACCAAACACGAGTTCATTATCTTCATTTGATTCTCTATCCATTCTCCTAAGCAACCACTCATTGTTATCATCAATATCCTTCAAAGAGATTGGATTAAAAATTGGGTCACGTCAATCATATGGGCGTCTCCAAGCTCCCTTATATTTGTTAAGTACTAAATCTTTGAGACTAGTCTGTGTGAGTTTGCAACAATTTATGATAAGATAAAAAAAAATGGAATCGAAGAGATTTGAGGACGACACTTACATGCTCAAACACACTCCATTTCCTCTCACAACTAGATGCACTACAAGTAAGGCTAAGAACTTTTTTCTTTAAGTTTTTCAAATTCGGCGTTGCAGAATTGTATGCCCCCCACCAATCAGCTGTGAATATCAATTAATTAGCGTTTGTGAATATTTAAGCAATGATAATGAAATAAGCTTGTGGGATAATATAGATCACCTGTTGCCCTTGTAGTTCTTTGTCTAATTGCCATGGGCAACTTAAAGAGGTTTTTACCTTTCATGTAAATACTCAACTCCTGAAAAATTCGATCTTTGTATCTCAGGGTTTGGGACCAACCTTTGTAAACATTTATATAGGTCATTCATGACTTCTTGAGCTTTCTCAACCTCTGGATTTTAATAAAAAACTTCTAGGTTCAAAAAATACGCAGCTACATGCAAAGGGCGATACAATTGAACTTTCCACCTTCAGTCAATGATTTTAAAGATGTTTTTGTACTTCTCTTCATTTTTGCAATCACTTCTTTAGCACTGTCCATAGTTTCATAAATGTATCCCATGGGAGTCTTCTTCTCACCATCAACCAATCAAAGAACACGAACAAGAGGGCTAGCAAGCTTGTGAATACACAACATTATTACAAAATGAAGGCATTAAACTGATTTGTGCTGTCCTTGTCTTGTTGTTTCTTTGTCCATTTGTTTGTAGTCCATTCCTTTGAAGTGAAAATTTTCCTTAGCTACTTTTTTGTTGGTTGATCCTTGATAAAGTAAGAAAAGCTATACCAAATTTGGTTTTTAAGGGCTTAATCAACTCCTTTAACTAGGTAAATCGCCTCATCATATTTAATAGAGGTGGACGGTTATAATTTTAACCGTGTACTGCTATTCCTCAACTGTCCTCCAAGTCCACGCAATTGCTATATATATATATTATAGTTATATCT